CTCCGATAAAGTGAATTTAAATTTTTTGATTGATGTTTTTTGTCCAATGTAATATTCAGATATTGTGCCCGAACAGAAAAACTATTCTCGTACTTTATTTGAAAAAAACTGTTCACATTTTTCCGATGAATCCTAACAGCTTGACGCGTTCCTTCAAGGAATTTTCCAGAACAGCGGCTATCTGCCTATGACGCTCCGGAGAGGCAACGACGAGCGATTAGCCACTCCCATGTGCAATTCTAATCTCCCATACGATCATCGTCTTTGATTTAGACCCTACCGAATTTCAGGCTGTTCTTACTTCGAAAAATCGTTAGATTTATAACATGAGAATTCTGGATGAGCAGTGCCAAACCAACACTTTGTTATGGACTATTTTTCATTTCTTCAACCTAATTGTTTAGCTAAACAGTCAGAGCTTTATTAGAATTCCTGATTAAGGGAATTTTACAATGGAAGATCACATACTGTAAGTTAAGGAGATTGGAAATATTCGGGTCAAATGAAAGCTTTCACCGCTAAACTAGCAAGTTTTAAAAATTACGTGCCCATAGCGTACCTAGAGTAAATTACTTAAATTTCAAGGTATGTGAAATTCAGATATTAGAATGACTCCGGAAAGATTTTCTCCACTATTGTAAGAACAAAACATAGACTTATGGTTAGTGGCTTCGTTATTGAAATACATTAAAATAATAGTTGGCCATGCTCCATTTACTATAAAAGCTGTGACCTCATTTCCAAATATCTTTTTATTTTAACTTTTTCCAGTTATAATAACTATAGAACTTATACGAGTCAGAACTCCTAAAACAAATGTGTGAATAATTGAGTACTTAGCCAGAAAAAAATATAATGAGAGTAGACTTAAATACCAATAATGTCGGATCGACTACAACTAGACTTTGAGTTTCAGACGTACTTATCTGCATGGATGCAAATGTTCGTGAAACCCTCAATGCGTTTTTCCGTGAATGGAATTCTACGCGTTATATTTTTCTATGGCACATATCTGTTTCGGGAACCACATCTAGATAGGACAACTTATAATAAAGCTGATTTGATGCAACTCATCAGCTAAGGTCAACCGCACACCATCTAAATTACCACTGATTGCACATTAGTATCACACAAAATGTTCTAATTACACATCAATCCTTTCTAAACACATCACCTACTAAGGAAAGAAACGAAAACACATTAAACTACTGCTAGTCGAATAAAGCTTAACAGATTAATTGCCGAATACCAAAAATATTTAATTAGCTGAACTGACGGCCTGAAAAACCTTCGTATATATTTGATTGCTAGCCCAAGTATCAAACCTGAAATCACGCTAACAAATTGGAAGGCGATACTCTTCCAATGATTGCCAGATCACAAACTTTCTTTTTTTTTTCACAGGACTCTCCCTAGCATCGAGGGAAAAAACGTCCGTTTCTGATTGGTCTTTTTTCTGGTCAATAAAAGCTGAAATCGAAAAACCGATTTCACATTCGGGTTTCTGGAAATTGATAACCTATTGCAAAGTTTTATCAAAATGTCGAAAACCCTTAAAATAAAAAACCACATTTCTCATTGGTTCATATTTTGACCAATGAAAGCTGAAATCGAAAAACTGACTTTATATTCGGATTCTGAGATGTCGATAGCCTACTACAAAGTTTCATCAAAAGGTACAAAAAGCTTAAAATAAAAAAGGCTCATTTCTGATTGATCGACTTTCTAGCTAATGAGAAGACCACTTGTAAAATCCGGCCTCGGATTCGGATTACTCGACCTCAATTTTTTTTAGGGAAACTTTAGAAGTTACGTCGAAATAAACTTCACCTCTGTTGTTTTTCTTTACCTTGCTACAAGCAGACAGACACACAAAGTAGGGGTGGATGTGGATGGAGGTGGCAGTGTGGGATGTGGACGTGAGTGTGGATACCAACACACTACATCCACCCGCACGCACATCCCACACTCATGCTCTCGTGGCGGAAATGAGTAGTTTTTGAAAGTCTATTTGCTTCATTGTGGATGGCGATCTTCCCATTGTCTCGTAAAGATATTTCAGGAAGATGTCAATCGTTTCTTCTTGGAGGGCATTTGTTCATAAAGTCATCACGTCTCCCAAGATCAATTTTGTTGGTGCTGATAGTTGTTTTTTGCGTTTTAAATTATATACAAATGAAAAATAATCCTTCAATGTTCTTTTATTACGGCGAATAGGTGTAAGCATCTTCATCAAGGTCTTTCCGAGACCATAGTTATATATATATTGTTTATTGTTTAAAGAAACGTTCTTTTGATGCATCTTTGGGAACCCGTACAATTCGCCCGTTGTTAGGCGTGCTTCGTCGAGCTTTCCTGTAGAATTCATTGTCTATCTGCCCTTGGCTTGGGAGTCATCAAAATAAATAACTCAAACCATTCTCTTGACTGATAGTTGGATCTGTGCTTATCGGTTTGAATTTAATTCGATTGTTTATGATACATGTTATTCATTTTGTTAATATTAATCACCTTTGTTCATATTAACGATTTCACGACCTTGGTCTGGATAGGTGATGGCGATAGATTAATCTTTTCGGAGATCTCTAAAAACTCTCTGACATTCTCTAGTATTATCACTCGTTCGATAATGTTTATCACTTTCAATTTTAGCATTTCATATAAATGAATCTATGAGAGTTCGAAAATGGTTCACAAGTCTTAGTTCATTCGAAGTTCGAATTTGTAGATCTTTGTCCATATATTTGTCACTACGTCGAAGATTACAGATTAATTCCTTGTGATTCTGATGTATATTTGTAACATGTTCGAAAAATGGTCCACGTGACTGACTACACCTGATTCATCGACACTCTTTGGAACTAGTGGCGTAACCAGAAAGTCGTCGGTGGGGGCAAAAACATCGGGTGGGAGGGCGACGCCGCTTCTAGCCCCCGCCCCTCCCCTTAGATACGCCACTAATTGAGACTTGCCCATACTCAAGACCATAGATCCAGTACTATGTTTCTTTGGGAGCCAGCACAAGATTTCAAAGATGCATAAGAATATTTCCTTGTCTCTATTCATCTTCAGAGACTTCGCAATATTTCTTGGTGGAAAAGGCTATTTATTTCTCATTAATTGCAATTTTCTTATTAGTCAATTTATTATTAACGATGGCTGTTTTGATGATATTTATGGCTCGATGAAAGTTAAACGTGGTGGAGATTCTTTCAACAGGTTGCAACTGTATTTAAACTACTTTTTAGCTCGATATAAATTTTTGTATTTAAAATTGATTTATACTTGTAAAAGTCGACATGACTACCTCCATATGTTCTTTTTTATGACAGTCGACCACTTACTGTTTTAAATCAAAGGAATTTGGGTATCATGTTTCTTACGCGACATGTTTTCAAAAACAAGATGTCCAGGTATATACTCTCATTTTCTAAAAAAAAATTTTTAGCCGTCCTGTACGTATGTAAAATGTAACGTATTTCGTGTCGCTGAATATATAGGTCAATATTTGATATAGTTCTGGAAAAAGATTTCACCACGAATAAATAAAATCATGTGACTGATGTAAATTTTACCATTGTTGAAATATTCAACAATGGTAAAATTTACATCAGTCACAATATTTCACTTGTTCATTCGTTTGACGAAGAAAGTTTATTTCTTCTTCTTTCTAATATTCCGTTTTCTTTTGCCATCATTGCATGTCACAAAATATGCTTAGTGTTGCTCCAGCGAAAAAAGGCAAGTTTATATGTGGGAAGAATTTTGTTCTGTTCTTTCTGTTCCTTTTTTTGTGTACTCAAAAAGTGAGTACACACCTAGAATCGGTCACTGCATCCGGCCGTCTGGCCATTTACACGATAACTTATGAAAGGAGAGTGAGATCTTGATGAAATTTTCTACACAATATCGTCTCCATAATTTCTCGGTCGAGTTCGAAGATGAAAATGATTTGTCGAGCCATTGTTGAGTTATCGTAAAAAAAGTGATTTTTCCCTATGCTTTTCTATGCGATTATTGACCGATCTCGATTTTCGTAAAAGAACTTTTCCTCTTATAATCAAACAAAACAGCACGCTATTATATATCATTTGAGAGAGAATTTCACGGACTACAAAATGGTGTATAAAACATTGAGAAACAAGAAAGCGAAGTCGTCTATTGCAAAGATACTTAAACGGAAATTGGTTCTGTTTTTGTTCACGTTCCAATTCATCGAAAAAAATAAAGCTTCGTCTTCTGATCACAGAGATGATAGTTTGAGGTTTTCGAGAGTGGAAAACTGGAATATGAGGCCCACTTGCCTCGAAATCCTATTGGTTGAGCAGTAACCAATAGAAATCAAGTTTTAGGAAAAACGACTTTCTGAGGGTAATTCAGGACGAAGAGTTTAAATCTGAGCTATATTTGCTCCAAAACTCTATTGGTTGAGCAGTAACCGATACAAATCAAGTTTTAATAGAAGGGGCTCGCTAGGATAATTTTGATGCGTACACGTCCTACGATGACTCATCTGCCCAGTTCACTTTTTGAAGTACACATAACACTCGGATTTAAATCTGATGCTTCCACATTTATTTCTTCTTTGTATTCTTTCTTAGTCCCAAAGAAACAAGTGAATAAAGGAGATATATTATACAATAGTGATCTTATTACTATGAAGAGAATAGTCTTTCAACAAAACAGTACAAAAGAATGAAAAAACGAACCGAAACGAAAGAGAAGAAGAGGAGAGCGCACGAAAGAAAATCAAAGTAACAAAACAAAGATGAATCGGGTCGACTTTGAGCAAATGTCCTTCATATATTTCAAATAGAAAAAAACTTACACGAAGAAAGAGACAAGAGAAAAGAGAATGGTAGAGAGAAATTATCAAAGCGTATTAGTTAATATTTTCATTTTATTGTATTCATTTTTGTCTTGATTTTCGTGTCTGACACTTAAATATATACGTATATGTTTGAAAGGCAATCGTTGATTAGCATTATAGAAGAAAAATAATGACAGAAAAAAGAGTTATACGACGTCCAAAGGATGTTGTTCAAAAAGAACTTTCATCATATAATGAATTATATCAAGATTCAACATTTGTCGATCAACGAAAAGTTCAATATAAAACGCTAGTAACGAATTATTATAGTTTAACAACAGATGGCTATGAATATGCTTGGGGTAAAATTTTCATTGTACTAATCGATTTCGTGGTGAAACATTCGCAGAATCAATTCAACGACATGAATCTTATTTAGCAGTAAGAATGGAACTTAAACCAGGAGATAAAGTATTTGACATCGGTTGTAGAGTTGGAAGACCATTAAGATGTATTACATACTTAACTGGAGCACATGTTACCGGTATAACAATTAGTCAATATCAAGTTCAATGAGCTAGAACAATTCATAAGAATTCTATGTATTTTTTTTTCGAAGCAAACTTCGAATATGAATTGAAACCTTTTATTTCAGATGCACCAGCTAATTGTCAATTTATTCAAGGTAATTTCATCCAAGAGAACTTTGCGATCAAGAACAATTGAACAGATTGGAAGGTATGACAGCTTTAGAACAGTTAGCCTTGAGTAGAGGTCGTCAGGTTCACAAATTTTTGGACCCGGACCTGCTAGAGAACTTTTTGGACTCAAAGCTCTTTGGTCAATTTTTTTAGGGTTCGGACTTGAACCGAACTCGTAAAACTTTGTTTAATTATCTAATATAAATCTGATTGTTGCTCGAGGATATGCAATATATTTAATTTGTTTTTGTTTGTTCAATGGAGAGCATTGTCTACATTTTGTTTAAACAATCACGTACCACCGCCATAGGAATAAAATTACAATTGGTTCTCATCTCACATCTACAGCTTCTGATGAAAGAAACAATGCGTATAAAACAAGTGATGATCATAATCATTGTTTGAATATTATTGTAAGTATAGACAGTAGTGAAGAACCAGATAATATTTGACCTGATTTATAGATTTATGATTGCAACCATGTTTAGACATTATAGTCAGGAAGAGCTTTATGATTTTTCTTCTACTTTTTAAAAATACATTTAATATTTTTGGAGTAAGATGAACAAGAATTTTAAGAAATTAAAAAAATTTCTAATATGAATCAAAGTTCTTTTCAATGCAGAACTGACCAATAAAAATCTTCAGACCCTGACCTGACCCAGACCCAGACCCGACGGACTCTAGCCTTGAGACAAGATGAAATTGAACAATTACAACAAATCAACGAGGTCGAACAATGGGAAGAAGAAAAACAAGAGTACATGAATGCAATTCAAAATTGGAAACAAGAGCAATTGAACGCTTTCGAAAGAATTCCAAAAACAGAACAAGATGAAGTACGACAGGATCAAATCGAACAATTGCAGCAAATAGATACAGTCGGGCAATGTCAAAAAGAAATGTTGCTACAAATGAATTTAATCGATCAACAGGATCAAGAACGATTGCACCAATTGCAAAGAATTCCTACACTACCGCCACATGACATGATATGACATCGAAGTTATCACCATTATGACGCATATGTAATCGAAAAATAATAAGAAAAGCAACAAAAACCGATAAACAATGAAAAACTGTACCAGCTGAAATACTAAAACATCCCGAACTTTGTAACCACATCTGAACGAAAACCAGACTAACCTTCAAATTTTAATAGCGTGCTACCCAATTTACAATTTTGAACAATAAATATGTGTCTCTATCTAGACTTTCTGCACCTTTCATCATATAAACCAACACACTTACATATCCTATTTACCTTTTCAGATGAATTTTCATTCGCAAATTATAAACAAAACATCAACACAACATTTCCGCGGATCAAGTTCAATATGAATGCATTAAAAAGTAGTACCTCCATCACTTAATACTGAATCCAAATGCGTAGATCCAACCTATGCAAATATCAAACTGTATAACCTGTGACAATCCACTATGAAACATGAGTAAAATTCTATGTGGGTGTGGGTGTGGGTGTGGGTGTGGGTGTGGGTGTGGGTGTGGGTGGGTGTGGGTGTGGGTGTGGGTGTGGGTGTGGGTGTGAGTGTGGGTGTGAGTGTGGGTGTGGGTGTGGGTGTCGGTGTGGGTGTGGGTGTGGGTGTGGGTGTGGGTGTGGGTGTGGGTGTAGGTGTGGGTGTCGGGTGTGGGTGTGGGTGTGGATGTGGGTGTGGCATGTGGGTATGGTGTATGGGTGTCGGCGTGGATGTGAATATGGATGTAGATGATTTGAGTATCGGTGGGTGCAGAGTATTGGTATCCAAAACTACATCCCACACTCACACCCACATCCGCACAAGCCTAGCTAGGGTCAATTATTCCTCTTGGACATTCTGCTGGATCTAGTTCCCAAATTCGTTTTAAGAATATTTTAATTCAACAGTGACTAGTACACCATGAGCAAGAAAAGCTTATGAAGGCTCCTCACTCTACTATTAGAAGCGAAATGAAAATATTACTCCCCCTCCCCTCGCCTAGCCTATAGAAATAATAATTTCGAAAGAAAATATTGACTACGCTGCTAATCTTTACAGGACTTTGAGGGATTCAATCACATCTTTGACCAATATTTCCTTATAAAAGCGATTCTTGGGATAGTGCAGCACAGGATTTTAGGATCCATTCCAATATGCAATCTTTCTTCACTTCCAACATAAACAATATCACTTTCCGTCTGAGAATTTTTCTATTCAAGCTGATTTCAGTAATAGGTTTTTCGAGGAACATTTTCATATAAAATCTTGTACAAGAATCGCATCTCTTAAGTAGTTTATTTTTTAACAGGAAAGGAAGAACTGAATAAGCTGCAAACTGAAAAAGTCTACGGGTATTTTATTGATACGACTGAAAGATTGGATTTCTTTATGAACATCCGATTCCAACATGCATATTGTTTGTACATCGATGCTCAAACAATGGCGTATGTAAACAGTCTTTCAGACTAGTTGCATCATTTGAACAGTTGAAATTATCCAGGATAAACTGACATGGAACAATAAAAGGATCATTATTGTGTATAAAGTAACATTTATCGTGAAGATCGCCTGATATTGGTTCCCATTCGTAGTTTTGTGAAAACATTTGTGGTTTCTTTTTCAGAGAACGACAAGCAGCTTGTGCTGCATTTCGATTAAAGCCATGATGACAGACCATTCCTTCAACACTCAAATGTTGTTTCAATAAGGGTGATTGTACTGATGTCAATTCCATATCGACTTTTATACGAAGAGGGGCTTCTTTGGTAATGCTAATGTTGACGATTTTTCGTTGATAGGTGAGGAGAGAGTGAATATTGCTGCAAGTTTGATCGAATGACTTCAGTAATCTATTGAAACCGGAGGTACTTTGAGTAATACGAACATTGGCGAGACCAAAAAGAAGAATGACACAAATCACAAGAGTATTCATCCTTGAACAATGAATGAAAGAAAAAATGTGAAGAATATCGAGTTTCTTCGACTTTTTATAGACGGTTGTTTTGCTTTCATAATCATTTTATTGATTCTTGCAATACATTTGAAGTAAAACATCTTAAAGAGAGACCTAATAACCAGCAATTCAGATAAACTTCTTTTCTTGTTAATGCTTCTTGAGTGATAACAAAGTCTGGTTATAAAATCAACTCAGCACACTTGAAACTGATAAGATCTGAAGGAACACCATCGGATTTAGAAAAACACCAAATAAATTCTGATGTTTAGCGACCCCAATTTGCTTGTGACTGGAATGGATGAATGCGAGTGTTGGTGTAGATTTTCTCTTCGCCATTATTCATCGTTACTCAATCACGAATCCACCTACTGGGACGAAACCAAGACCGAATATTATGAACCAGAGGGAGATGGAAGCATGATCATAACAAAGATTATTGAATGGGTCAGGAGCAAAGCTTGAAAGAGTCCTAAAATTATTGATTATTCAAGAGTCTATTCCGCACCCTATGCTCCAGAAAGAACAAAAAACAATTTTTTAGCAGCTCGCTGTTGTATTTTGATAATCTTACTCTTCTCCTAGATATTCCAAACAGTACAAAAGCCTATTATATTTTCAAAATGTTCAATTCACTTGTTACTTGTCTGGATCAGTCATAAAAGATGGTGCTCAATAAAAATCGAGGCTTGGTTCACACACTTTCAAGTTTCAGCATGGTTGTCGCTACCTAATAAACCTTATTTATATTGAATTGGTTTCATAATGAAATTTTGTTATCACGCAAGAAGGATTAAAAAGAAAAGAAGTATATCTGAATTGGTCGTTATTAGATCTCTCGTTAAGATGCTTTACTTCAAATGCATCGCAAGAATCAATAAAACAATCATGAAAGCAAAACAACCGTCTATAAAAAGCCGAGGTAACTCGATAATCTTCACATTTACTTTCATTCATTGTCTAAGGATGAATAGTCTTGTGATTTGCGTTATTCTTCTTTTTTGTCTCGCCAATGTTCATGTTACTCAAGGTACCGCCGGTTTCAATCAAATGCTGAAGTCAATTGATCAAACTTGCAACATTATACACTCTCTTCTCACCTATCAACGAAAAATCGTCAACATTAGTGTTACCAAAGAAGCTCCCGTTCGTGTAAAAGTTGATATGGAGTTGACATCAGTACAATCACCCTCATTGAAGCAACATTTGAGTGTTGAAGGAATGGTCTGTCATCATGGCTTTAATCGAAATGTAGCCGAAGCTGCTTGTCGTTCTCTGAAGAAGAGACTGCAAATGTTTTCACAAAACTACGAATGGGTACCAACATCAGGCGATCTACACGATAAATGTTACTTTATTTATAATAATGATCCATTTGTTGTTCCATGCCAGTTCATCCTGGATAATTTCGACTGTTCAAATGATGCGACCAGTCTGAAAGACTGTACACACACGCCATTGTTTGAACATCGATGTACAAACGATATGCATGTTGGTATTGGATGTTCAGCAGTCGGTAAGAGAATATGATTTTTCTAGTAGCATATTGAAATGTTTTCAAATTCATGTGCTTAGACGAGCCTAAAAGAACTACAACTACTCGAAGCACCACCAAAATCGCAAGTGAGTCATATATATGATAGACTGTTTTGACTGGAGATTTAGAGATAAAATTGTCAGTTACGAATAAAAAGAGTTTTCAGCTTATCTTCTAAGAAGATACGAAGAGAATTTTTTTCTGTTCAGTGACGCTCACTTTCTTTACTTTGTGCAAATTCACAGAAAAGCTTATGGGGAAATCTCACTCTCGATATCTCTGTCCCTTAGAACAATCATTCATCATCAAAATTTTGCTTTCTCTAGGCTCTACTGTTTCTATCGATGAAGAAACAGTTGGAGGTGTTTTAAATCGTCACAATTGGACGGATATTGGAGCTGCCATTGATGTCACTACAAGCATGTCCGACTGTTACGCTCAAATTGATCAATGGATGACTCTGAGTCAAACGAATAAGTTTGTTAAATATTTTGCTTTTTTCAATGATGGTGATATGACTCCAGATGCGAATAAAGTCATAGGATCTACAGGTAAGGAAGCTTTGCAAAAGATAAGCCGATTTTTAAAGTCTATATTTTGACTTTAACTTAGGTGGTATCTACGGCGTATACACTAGTCAAGGTGTTGCGAAAGTTTTGGCAACCTTGAAAACAGCTAAGGAGAACGGCAACGGTGGTGATGTTCCTGAAAATGACATTGAAGCACTTATCTACACAATCGCCAAGTGTCCTACATGTGGAAATATTATTCACATTGCGGATAATCAGGCAACACCAAGAGATTTGGTTCTTTTACCTAAAGTTAAGAAGCCGGTTAAAGTCATTGTTTGTAAACTTGCTTCAGATAGTCTTGTAAATCCAAAACTGTTAGATATCGCTTATAAGACCGGTGGCTCTTTGCATACGCTTGATGCAGACATCGAAACGTTGACAAGTTTGAAGATTGGTGACATAATTCGAGTAGGATCGGGAATTTATCGGTTAGATGCCACCGGATTTGTACGAATCGCTTGAAGCTTTGAAAATCATTGTAGTTGATAACCTACAGCTGTGCACAAAAGTTGGTGTTTATTTCGAAAATAAAACTCATTAGTTTCAAAGGCAGCGCAAGGTATGCATATGCGTATGTTGTTTGATGGGTGTGGATGTATCTCTGTGTACGTATGATTCTATGAATGTGGGTCTTTTCTTATCAACACCCGTATTCACACACAAAACCACACACTAATATTGAACTATTATATCCTGTTAGAGATGTTATAAGGAAATCTATTCCTTTTATAAATTTTAATTCCAACAGGTGAAGAATCTAATGAGTGATCACGATCAGATGCTTTAAACGTTTTTTTTCTCAAGACACACTTAGATTTATTCTTCAATAATAATAATGAAATACATTATATTCTCAAGCACTAAGTAGTTATAAATTTTTAAATACATCATGAGAATAACTCATTAAATTTCAGAAAACTGTTTTCTTCAAGGATTGGCTAAAGGTTCTCCGACAAATACACTTTGAAACACTTGTAGAATGCTTTTCCAATAGGCTTCAATAAGAGTTTCACCCTTCGTGTAGTGTGATATCACTAAACTTGGGAAGGGAAATTTTTGAGAATAAGCACATGGTTCACTGACAGTACCAAATGTTCCTGTAGCACCATCAGCAATAAATTCAAGAGCGGACATCTGACTAAAACCAGTAAGCATTCCACCAGCAGAAATCAAATGATTCGCCACAGCACATGGTGGAAATTTGTTTGTCATAATATTACTAACGTGGATTAATCCTTGAAAATAGAAAAGTACATCTGTTTTTTCCTAAAATCGAATCAACACCCAAAATTTTGACATTGACGTAAGGACCCAGCGCATTTCCTAAATTTGAAACAGAGAAGATTTTTGCACGAAAACTTCTAGTTGAATCGGTTGTGTTCATAATATAAGCAGAACCATTCGGATATGTTCCATCTGATGCTATTCCTCGATCGATCAAGGCTTTGGCTTGATCAACATTCTGTGTTGCAAGCATCATGGATGGACGTATCTTAAGATCAGTGAATGGCTTAGTAGAAATTGAATTAAAATAAGGTGAACTAGTAGTCCAACCACAGGTTCCTGTTTGTTTGACAAGGACCATCCATGTACCCGAGTGTAAAAGCGGAGGTAATTGAGTTGCATTCGACACGGTAAGGAATTGTCTATACAAGTGCCAGCGCTTGAACAGCTGCTGGTAGCATTTGATCAACTTTTGCTTTCAATGGGCAAATTGTTTGGGAATCAATGTGACTACCTTCGAAACATTAAGATGAACTATATTCTCCGGTGAAATCTGACGACGTATTCGATAATATTCGGTCACGGCTAAGCTATCTGAATCATTGTCATTTACCAGAAGACCAAGTTGTCGAGGTTGAAGACCACTCCATTGAGGGACTTTGATTGAAACAACAGACGTCACTTTCAATCTACCAGTTTTTAATATAGCAATAACCTTAAAATCATAGGTAGATCCGCTGTCGAGATCCATGATTGTCAATGAAGTAGACTCGGAATCAACTCCTTTTGCATCTATTCTAGAAGTCGAACTATATTCAATGTGGTAGTCTGTTACTTCAGACACTGTCCCAAGTAAGAACCACATGTTCATCACCTGTCACAGCTTGTTTGGTTGAGAATTTCGTTGATGATGGAATAGCTGAAATAAAAAAAAGACATTCATTCGACAGATTAGATTTAGTGAAATCGAAAATGAGTCTTTATATTTGATGAACAAATCTGTTTCGGCCACTTTCAGTGAGAAGTCTTTTAGCAGTGTTTTTATGCGTTAAAATCTAGCTCTCACTCCAAGTCTTGACTAGGGCAAATGCATATGAAAATGAATCAGTCAAATTTCTAGACCTGCACTATTCGTTGTGTATCGAGAGTTGAAAACAAATAATCGTACTAATCTTACTTTCTCCTTTTGCATTAATAATAACGCTTGATAAGTAATAAAGAACACATGTGACAGTCACGATGTACTTCATTGTGAAATGGGTTTCAAATGATATTGGTAAGCGATAGTATCAACCGAAGTATCTCTATATTTTGTAGTCTTGACTTGCGACCTATCAATTTTCAATTTTGATTGGCAGCCTCCTCAGAAATTAAGTGAAATAATCGTCATGCCAATGACAGAAATCGGATATCGTGTGTTGGATAAAAGGGTGACCCGACAGTTGAGCTCCCGACAATTGAGGTGTGAAAGTTGAGGAGTGAGAATTGAGAGAAAGACAGTT